GAGAGCTGAGCCCCATAGGCACAAGGGTCTCCATATCAGACAACGTCTGGGCTCATTTTGACTCCAGGGACCCAGGCCAGGAAAAGCACCCAGGTCCCATGCTCCAGTCCTGAGGATCAGAACATGAAGTTGGAGGCCGGGCTATACTACCGAGGAGAGTTCAGCTGCAGGGGGACCATGTTAGGGATGGCACCAGCTCCTTCTCTGAACCCCACAGCCTGGCTAAGAGTGCTGGCACCTTAGCACAGGAGAAATCTCACCAGAAAGTGTCCAGACAAGCAGCACCGGTGATGATATGCTGGGAATGGGGGATGGGGGTGGGGGGTGCAAGCAGGGGCCTGAGGATCTGGATCAGGTCTGGATCATCTCCATCACCTACACATCTTGTTGAGGCAAGTGCAAACAGCACAATGCAACAACACTAAAGGGGCTTTTCTTCACCTGGCTTCACAATAATCTACACGTCCCATTTCCTCACAAAAACTCAGGCAGGTCCCTGAGCCCCTGCCAGCCAGGTCTGGCACTGCTGCCAAGCAAATTGTGCCTATGGAGAGCAGCCTCTTGCCTTGGCGCCAAGGAGAGGAGACCACCAGCATGGGGAACAATTGGTCCTTGCACTGCCAAATGTGGCCAGGGCATATTCACAGCTCCTGTGGATGCTTCTTCACTTGGAATTGATGCAGAGGGGCTATGCAAGGGTTGTGAGAGAGGGAAGAGCTTTTAGCCCTGATGATGCTGCTTACCTTGCCTGTGGGTACATGCGGGCAGGATGCCACTGGTTCCTTCCCAGTCACTCCAGGAGCAGGATGTGCAACACATGAGGGATGCTGGTGACAGAAAAAGCTCCTGTACACCATGCCTTTGGAGGAAAGGGACTAAAACAGCTCCCGTAAAGCCCATGAAATGGATATTGTGGCACTAAGTGAGACCAGCATAGCATTTTCCTCTGGTGCTTTGCTCTCGCTGCAGAGAAGCGGACAGGTGTTTTTGCTATGGACTTTCAATCCTACCTCCTGGCTATGCCATGTCAGACCTTGAGACCGCAGCAGATTGTACCTGCTGTGTCTGGTGCCCCTTGAATGCAGCCTGGGAAGCATCTGAGACTGCTTTAACCATGCCATTGAGACAGGAGTGCACTCATGACCCCAGCTGTGAGTCCTGGCAGCCAAGGAACAATCCAAAGTCTGCTTGATTTGCTTGCATATATGCAGCCTTGTCTTTCTCTCTTGCTCTTGCGCACAGTTACCAAGGGAGTAGCTCTTTAGTCAGCTCCCTAGGAAAGCTTTTTAGTTGTAATATCTTGTTATTCCACAACATGTGAAATAGAGGTCCTAGGTTTGGATTAAGGACTCAAGTAATACAGCCAGTGCTCCGGATGACCTCACACCAGTGATCCCAGCACACAGGCCCCAAGCTAATGAGGGTATGTCTGCATCATACTGCAATGGATTTTTGGTCCTGCCCTGCCAGACCCTAAGGATACAGTGTGGGTAGGAAAAGAGCAGGAAAAACATGTCTGGGAAGAAAGAAATAGGAATACTTTTTTACTGAAACTAGCTTTTGTCTGGGAGTCAAGGTTTTTGGCATGGCTGTGACTAGCTGCTTTCCCTATTCCCTCTGAAGAGATCATTGACATTTTGTTTCAGAAGAGCTCACTCCCTAGTTTACTAAGCACTAAGGCCCACAGTTTTTTGACAGATTCCCAAGATTTGGGCTCTGGAGTAGGGACAGCTGCTGCAGGGCTGGAGGAGGGACAGGAGCCAAGACCACATACCTGGCCCAGGACAGCATCTCCTCCTGTCCTCCCCTGGAGGGTAAGGGCAGCCTGCTGCCAGAGATGGGACCTAAATTGCCACCCACTTGAGAGCCATGACATACAAGGACCTGGCAGGGATCTGTAGTTAACAGCTACATTGCTCCGAGGAGGAGAAGTTTACTGCTCTCAGGAGAGATGGAAGCCATGAGCTCTCCAGCCATGTTCTACGAGGCAGGTTGCAAGCCATCCCTCAAACTCTGATGGAAACAGATAAACCTGCTTCCAGCACCCAAGTGATCAGTGCAAGTCCCTTCTCCCTCAGCCTTACTAGTTCAGCACACTGCTCTGCTTGTCAGCGTAGCCTCCAGACAAGGATGACTCTGATCTGCCCCAGGCTAAGCCCCTTCAGTGCAGTCCCTGCCCTGCACAAGGACCTGCTCCAACTGCAGAAGTTCAGCCTCCATGCAGAGCCACACCAACCATCAAGCATCATCCCCTCCCCAGTCACGGTATCTCATGGCTGAGCAAGTAGCAGGCAGGCTTCTATCTAAGCAAGCACCAGTTATCCTCTTTTCCCACTCACACTGTTTGTCTTGGCCTCTCTTCCCATACCAGTCTTCCTTCTCTTCCTTCTCCTCCCCAGGACTGAATTGCTGGGTCTGTCACTATAGTTAATGAGCTGGGACAGAGCTGATGCTCTAGGAAAGTCACACCAAGAGTCATTCAAGTGTGTGGGCATTGTGTGTGCACAAATACACGGAAGGAGGACTCCAGAGGGGAGGACACCTGGCAAAGAAATAAGTAACCAACTAAGTGAGCCAGGAGTCCACGGGAGGAGAAGGGACAGGACTAAGCTTGCACTGAAGATGTCTCAGCAAAAGCCATCAGATGTCTGGACATCCTCTGGCTTGAACAGCCCAGCCAATGCACTACAATGCATGTCATCCCCTGGAGGTCTGGTGGCCATGTCCCCCCTACCTTCAGAAACAGTCCCTAGGCCACCTCACTCCCAACCTGTGCCCAGGCATGCTGTTTAGTGCCAAACCCAGGCCAGGGTGAGTGTGACTAATTTAATGATGTTTGACACTGTGGTATTTGGGAGGAGAGGATGGTGCCTGACTGGTGGCCACATGAATCCCATTTGTGAGTTTTCACCCATGCTTCAGCTGGACAGAACAACTTTGTTCAAACACCACATGGCCTGGGCAAAAAGGCACTTCCCAAGAGGATATAAGGACACTTTAGGGCACTAAGGCCATAGTCCCAAGTGCACAGACACAGGAAATTCAAGGCTCAGGAGGAAAATTACCATGGACTCTAAGTCCACTGTTGATGAAGGTTAGGAGTTGGAGGGCTGCTGTCTGTGCTGATGTGCCCAGGAGCAGTTGTCTTTGACAGCCTCCATTCTCCCAAAAGTTCCTTCCCCTCATCTGCACCCTAGCTGCTAGCAAGCACCAACCTGCCAGGGCATTCAATGACACTGTGGCTCAGTTTCCATTCACCACAAGGCCAAAGATCCTATTCCTGCTACTCTTCTTCCATGTCTCATGCTCCCGTGTGAGCTGAGACCTGGGAAGTTCCAACACAGAAGCTGCACTGACAAGACTGAAGTGTTTTGAACTGGATGGTGCAATACTGGCATGCTCCCTCTCACCCCATCTCTGCATGTACCCCCAGGGGGACCCACTCCTGCAGCCTGGCTGAGCCATGCGGAGCAGGGCATCTGCCTCACTGTGGTGCTAAGAGACTGCCCGGAGAGACGTGCTGTAGAACAGGTTCTTCACCCCATGAAACCCCTTTCCCTATCCCCACACACCAGCACAGCCCCCTTGCCACTGCAGCAAGACAGGCAGTGCTGGCTGCACACCACACACTCCACGCTGCCTTTCAGGCTGGAACATGAGGCACATCAACTGACTGCTGGATTTTCTTTTTATTTAACAAAATCACAGCACAAAAAGAGAGAAAAGAAGCAGCATTATATACTGAATTGTTGCAATGAGCAGTTCTAGCAGCAAATATCTGAGAGTAGTGTGAGCTCCAGGCATGGGTGTGGGGCAGGGTTTGAAAGTGGCATCACACTGGGGGACCGAGAAGGGAGGTGATGTTCCTGAGGAACTGCCACATCACTGCCTGCGCTGCAGCTGCTGAGTTACTGGCTCTATTTCTACCCTTGCAAGGAAGGGCAGGAGGGAAACTGGACAGAGAAGTCAGGTGTCAGAGAGAAACCACGTCATGCTGCCTGTGAACATCTAGGTTGTACTCAGCAAGAAGCAGCACAGTGCACAGCCACTGAGGAGCATATCCATCCCCCCATCCCTACCCACACTGTCCCATCCTGCCAGCCCTTCCCTCAGGCCTGCGACTGACAATGGAAGGCAAAGGGATCAGACTAGAGCTGGAAGTCACAGCTGCTGTGCTGAAGGAAAGCTTGAGACTCCCCAAACTCTCATTGCAGAACAGTCCATCAACCAGCTTCCAGGCTGTAAAGGCAGTGGAGTCCAGCAGCCCCAGCTCAGCCTGACACAGGCTGCTCAGTCACACCAAACACAGATGGAAAAAGAGAGAGCAGGCAAGGCTCTGCCCAGCCCCACACACTGGCACAAGTCCCATGAAGCATCAGCCCTGAGGCTGGAGGTGGAAGCAGGTCAGCTTCATTAGCATCAGATTCACAGCTGGGAGCTGGTACCACTCCAGGTGTTGGGACCAGCCATGGGTTTCTTCAGTGCCTACTTGCCTCGGGGTTTGGGCTGGGGAAGTGAAAAACCCAGGTGTTATTAATGTGGTCCTCAGGGCAGAAGCCTCCCCAGAGCCCATTCCTCCACTGCTCAATCCATGGTGGTGAGGTAAGGTCCTGGCAAGGCTTACAAAGTGCCCAACAAACTCATTACAAGCCTTCCTTATGAAGGTGCACAAGCAGCAGGCTCCAAGCATGGGAGGTGAGGGGTTTGTTCCCAGTGACATTTGCTGTGACACTCATCAGGTTCAGCCAAGAGTGGCACTGAGTGGACAATGGCCCCAGGGCTGCATTTATTTGGGGTGGAAGAGGGACTGCAGGGGAAACAGATTTGGTCCCAGCTGGAGTGAGGAAAGATGGAGGCCAAGACAAAGTATTCAAGCCTCAGTAGATCATGTCCCTGCTCTTCCCAGCAGCCCAATCACACTAGGAAAAGTCTGTTTGGAGGAGGACAAACCCACCCTCAGGCTGCCCCCTCACCTGTCTGAGAACAGGGATAGTTCTTACCTTCCTGGCAGAGCTGGCATTCAGCTTCTCTTGAAGTCGAATCACCCACGGGGATTGGAGTGGGGCACAGAGGCGTTTGCCCTTTGTGGTGATGAATCTGGCAGGCCCATGAGGGAAAAAACCCAAGATGAAGTGAGCAGGACACCTCAGGTCTGCTCAAGAAGAGCTCAAACTGTCACTCTCTGCCTCCCTCACTACCCTCCTACAATTCTGCCTTAGATTATTTTCTTCCCTGAGTTTTGTCCCATATTTTTCCCTCTCAGCAGATTCTCCTCTAACTGAGTCTCTTGACTACAGGATCTCCTCCACAACCCTCCCTATTCCCTCACTCTCAAATGCAGCTCAACATCCCTCCTCCACCCTGCTCTTCCTCCATCCCTGCCTTCCTGCAGAGTCCATCCCTTGGCCATCACAAGCCTACAGCTCTTGTCCCTCAGCCATCACCACTTGAGCTCTTACACAGTAGCAGGGATAGTACAGCCATCCTGCACTAGCTGGAGCCGGTAATCCTTCACTATCCGCCGTGGGATGGGTGTCTCACTTGTCCGCAGGCAGCAGTCAAGGACGTTGTTCCCACCACGCACTGGAGAAGGAACACACCATGCAGGCTGAGGTCAGTTGCACCTCTCCCAGCCTCCCTGCAGGGTGAAGGAGCTGTGGCAAACCAGGCAGGATGGGATGCCCTTGCATACCATCCTATCTGGGCACACAGGCACCAGCTTTATTGCTCTCATGCCCCAGTGCCAGGAGCCGTTTGCCTCCTTCCAACAGAAAGCAAAGGAGATGAGGAACAGCAGACATGCAGAAGACAACCCTCCTGTATGACTGGGTCCATTCTGTACCCCTCTCCTGCACACCCGCAAGCAAGGCAGGATGAGGGGGTCTTCACTTCAAGGTGCTGCAATATAGACACCTGTTCCTGAGGAGATGGGCATGACTTCAGATTTACTTACAGAAGCAACCATAGGTTTGGCAGCCACCCTATCACCAGCCCACCCTACACAGATCATTCCTGTGACAGCTAAGGGACACAGATCTCTGTGCTTGTTTGCAGGGAAGGGGATCTCAGTCATCCTCCCAGCGAATTCTGTATTCACTGCTAATGCCTGACAAGGCTGGTGATGCCCAGGGATGTCTATAATCCCTGGCAGCAAGGTGCAGTGCAACACCAAGAGGTGTCTGGACCTCCCATCTCCCCAGCACAGAATACAGTTTCTTGTGTCACCCACCCAGACAGCTGTGACCAGTGTAAACCCCGTGTCCAATGTCAGCAGCCCCCCAAAAATGAGCCCTGTCCTAACACATGCATTTCCTCCGGCTCCCAGCCCTGTCACTTTCCCCCAGGCTACCCCATGCCACAGAGTGACAAGGGATGCTCCCCTGTTGTACTGCAGAGAATGGGACCAAGGTGATCCCAGCCCAGTTGCGCCAGCTGGGCTAGGGCAATGGGAGGCAGAATTGCTCCATGGCCCTTCCCAAACACACCTTCATAGCCCCAGTGTCCTGCAGACTCCTGTCTGGACTTCAGGCAGGACAGCGTCCTTTTGGGATAGGTTACAGAGGATGCAGGAGGGCTACAACAGACCCCCAGCCATGGGGCCCTCTAATAGTCTAGTGGAAATCCAAAAGAGAGGAAGAAACTGAATTCACTCCCTTCTGTAGAAAAGGCAGCCTAAGAGGTTCCCTCTTACCATCCAGGATACATCCCAGCACCAGAAGACTGAGGCAGAGAAGATGCAGCCACTGCATTTTGATGCTGAGTCTGGCAGAGGATGGGCTGGAGGCGATGGAGCTTCTGGCAGAAGAGGTGAGCTGTGCACAGCTTCCCTGCACTCTGCTGCTCTCTCTCCCCAGTGCCTATATATCCTTCCAGCCCGGGACTTTCACTTTCTTTTGGAGAGGAGGGAAGCTGGGAAGTTGCAACAAGTCTTACCACAGGCTGGATTTTAATCTTTGAGAAGTTCCCGAATATCCCAGCTGCTTTCCCTGCAGCCAGATTCTCTGTGGTCCCAGAGCCAAACACTTTCCTGCCCTCTCCTCTGCCAGTGCTCAGGCCACAGGGATTGCTGGTCAGGATCAGGCAACCTCAGGATCCCTTTACCCTGTGAGAGCACCCCAAGGCCCTGGGATAGCACATGGGGTGTCTCACCCCATACATTTCCCAGTGTCTTATCTGAGACATCTCCGGGACTTTCACATGAGATATCATTTAGGCTGAACCCCCTGATGCTGGGATGCTAGAACTTGACTCAACCCTGCTTTGGGGGTAATATTGGTACTGGGATGATGTTTCTTTCCCCTTGAGCCCCCTTATTTTGGTTGCAGGAGCCTGGCTGACTCCCCCTGCCGCCCCAACTGCCCGACTGTG